CAGGAGTTCAAGGCCTTTGCCACTTCTCTAGAAGTATATGTTTTATACCTGAACCGCTGGGTTTTTTTTGTCTGAACCTCTACGTTCAACACATCATTTCCGTTTTCTTTGAAAGGTGAGTAAAATTATAGGTAGATATAAACTTGTAGTGTTTTATATTGGGATAGCATTTTACTACTTAAAAGGTACTCTAAGACTTCTGAGAGGATGGCAGCAGAGGTATATACTCTATTCTCCGTAAATTCTCCCAGAAAAACAGATGGATCAACTAGGAATACAAAACCGAAAGTTCATGACAACAACTACAGCAAAACGGGCTGTTCAGTCACCTCCGTGAGCCCCCACATTCAAGCAGGTGTGGATGAACAAATGCGAGTACTTTCTCTGTCCAGTGACACTTTGACTCTCTGAGATTTCTAACATGAGTAATCATTCCCTCATTTCTGTGCTGTCTCACTCTCCTATTTTCCTACTAACCTCCCTAGTCACTCCTTATTAATCTTCTTTGCCGGTTTTCCTTCCTCTGCCAGACTTGCAAATATTGGTATTTTGGGGCTCTATATTCAGTTATTTTTCCTTTTCACTCAAAGTTTCTTCCTAAGCAATGATATCATACCTAGAGATCTCAGCTTTCACACCTATATATACTGTTAATTCTCAAATCTGCATTCCTAGCTGAGATCTGTCTCCTGAAAACAGCCCTTTATGTCCAACTGTTGAGATCTCTCCATTGACTATCCCACAGGCCCCCTCCATGGCAAACTTGCTCCCCACCCAGCCTTCCTTAACTCCAAGAAGGTAAGTGGTCATATCTTCTTATTTCATAAATAATTTCAGTTTTCTCTATATACTATCCCAAGAAAAACTTTCTTTCAACACTCCTACACTTTTTATATCCTTCCTCGTATTTCTTTTCCTTAACAATTATATTTCTGGATTAAATAGGTAATATTACTGCCTTATTTGGTCACTATTCAGTCACTTCCTAACCTCCTACATTCCAATTACTCATCCCTTTACCAAAACTGCCCTCTCTGTAGCATTGATGAAGTTGCCCATCATTTAAAAACATTTCTTTCCTTTTACAAGTGTTATTCTGAATCTGATCTAACCTGATTTGTCTTATACTACTCTGTCCGGTCAGTCTGTTTACACCGATATTCCCTAGATATTCCGCTGTCACCCCAATAATGGATTTCAGGGCTACTTTGATAAAGTGAGAGGGAGAAAAGCAGTGTGAGAGAAAAAAATCAGACAAATAGAGAGAGAATGAGGGAGAGAGAGGGAGGAGAGACTCCTTCAGGGACTAACTTCCCAGGGTTCAATAATTCACCGTATTCTGATAACACCCTCTCCTAGCTCCAGGATCAATTTTTCAAATAACTGTACATGGAAATGAAAAAGCTAAAACTTAGAAATTCTGAACATTTTTCAGAAGCCCCTCCTTCTGTTAAACACTTTGTTTTTCTTCCCAATCATCGAGAAATAAAATTGGAATTGTTTTTTAATTCCCTTTCATCAGCAACATCCAATAAAATGTTAAGTTACGTAAAGTCTCCTGCTGAGCAGCTTCTCACATCAGTTCCACACTTCCTTTCCTTTGCTGTTGTGACAACACTGTTAAATATCCTCAAAATCTCTCATAAAGACACTTAGAATAGCTTCTTTTAATTTCTCTCTGCCTTTCATCTCTCTCTGCTTGAGTCAATCCTGAATATTACTAGTGTCATGTCAATCAGCTACTCTATTCAAATTCCTTCATGGTCTCCATGCTGTATTCAGATAACTACAGAATGCCACTGTCTAGGATTAAAATCTTCCACCAGTTTGCCCCAGCTTTATCTCCTGCTGTTCTCCAACCAACTAGACTAATGTCTACAAACTTATCCGATACGTGCCTGCCTCTGAGGTATTTAATCAAAGTATTTTCCTTGTCTATAATAATTTGTATTTCTCACTCCCTCATATAAAATCTTATCATGACACAAAATGGAGTTTTGGAAATAAACCTCTTACTGTTCTTATCATATGGCCACAAGTTCCTCTTATGACACATACAAGACTTTTTTCAAAATATATTTTTAATCATATTTGATAATTACATGATAAAAATATTCAATATTATATATATGAGGGTGAATTACATGGAGGTCCACTTCTGCTAACGAGGATGCAGCTTGCATTGGACTAACTCTTCCACAGATAATGATGATAAACTAAGTAAAAAAAATATAAAAACAATTATTTGAAGGCACGGGAGATCAGTTAAGAGCAAAGACTGGAGAATTTTTGACTCAAGGAAATCCCCTAATCTAAGTGGTGAGAAATGGCTAGAACTCAAGCGGAAAGCTAGAGACTTACTAGCGTGGCAAGTCATAGAACCAAGATTTAAAGTATCAGATCAGCGGAAAAGTGAGAAGATATATCCAGAAACTGAGGGGGGTACCCTAAAACCTGTATATATTCTCCCCCAAATACTTAGCTGACACCTGAACTGCATGGGCAAGGAGAAAATGAAAAGCAGAGGCTGGAAAGTTGAAAGAGATTTGTGGCTGCTGCCCACTCCAAGAGAGTTTTGAGTTTGAGTTCAGCCAAGTACACCACCTGCTGGAATAAAAATCAACTCTCTTCAAAAGATAATACAATCCAGAATCCAGAATGAAAACATATAATCTATAATGTCCAGTATGCAATAAAAATTACTAGACATGCAAACAAATAAGAAAATGTGATCCATAATCAAGAGAAAAAGCAATCAATGCAAACTTAGTTTAAGTTGACCTAGATGTTAAAATTAGCACACAGGGATTTTAAAACAGCTGTTAAAAATATGTTCAAGGGCTTAAAGGAAAATATAGCCACAATGAGTAAAAATATGGGGGAATGCTCAGTATAGAAATGGAAAATATACAAAATGAAAGTTCTAGAACTGAAAAGTACAATATCTGAATGGATCACTAGTGGGGTGGACTTAACAGCACATAGGGATGTCACATGAAAGGGTTAATGAACTCGAAAATAAATCAATAGGATTTATTCAATTTGAAAAACAGAGGAAGAAAAGATTGAAGGAAAATGAACACAATCTCAGTGATCTGTGGGACAATGCCCAAATGTCTATCAAATATCTATCTTTCTATCTATCTATCTATCTATTCATGAATCCCTGAAAGAGAGGAGTGAGGCACAAATATTATTTGAAATAGCAATGGCCAAAAATTTGCCAAATTAGGTGCAAAACATAAACGTCTGTATTGAAGAATCTTAATATTCCAAGAAATAGAAATACCAATCTCTTCCCCTCCACCACCACACTCAGATAGGCACAGTATAGAAAAACTACTGCAAACCAAAGATAAAGAGAAAAATCTCGAAAAATAAAGCAATTACAAACATGATAATATCAAAATGAATAAAATCTTAATTTCCATCAGAATATGATTAGAAGACAATAAAGCATTTTTGAGATTCTGAAAGAAGAAAATCAAGTTAATCCGGAATTCTGTATCCGGGGAATATATTGTTCAAAAATAAAGGCATTTTCAGATAAATAAAAACTGAGAGGATTTGTTGCCAATAGATCAGCACCACAAGATTATATATTCTGATTTTGTATATAGGTATACATGTGTGTTTGTATACATATACGTATGTATATACGTATATACATATGCATGCTTCATATATTTGTATATGCGTAAATACTGCAACTTTGCACTGGACTGATTTGCCTGCATCTCTGTTTAAAATTCTCCCATTACATCACCTGCATTGTTTCTTTAAAATAATTCAGTAAATACACTGTGATGTGTTTGTGTATGCTACTTAAATTTATTCTACAACTAGAGGTGGTTAGTTAATGTTTAAAATATGCTAATCAAAAATTCTGCCTATAAGGATACTTAATAGCTGAAGTATCTCAATCAGGGATACTCTCAAGAGGCAGCTAGGGTAAGCACTTCAAATATTGCTAATTATATGAACACCAGAGTGTTAACTAGTATAAGGAATAACAGAAATAACTTTTCACTAGTGAAATGAATTTTGTTCTTTATATGTGTGGCGGCTGAAAATACTTTATAGTCACTGCTGCCCTTTCATAAATGGGGTATAAGAATCAAGAGAGTCTAGCTGCTTAACTACAGAATATCTAGAGCTCTGGTTTATCTGTGCCCCATCTTAACGTAGGATTCTGCCTTCTGACCTAAATGAAAGGTAACAGATCCTGACATCAGAATCTTGTTTAAAATATTTCACATTGAAACAGATGCAAGGTACTTGAAAATGTGCCTAAAACAAATGAGCTGAGAGTTTACTCAGTTTGCTGAAACAGGTTATGTGACTGATCTACAAGCCTGCTCATTTTAAACATTATATGCGTGTGGCAGAATTCAGTTGAGATTTACTTTCATTACACCATATTGCCTAGTGGTGAGGGCTTGGGGGAAGAGACATTTAGCTCTCACTCACTAATATTTAGTTTCAGCCATTTTGCAATCTCCTCCCATGCCCAACTCCACCTCCCCAACGTCACTGCCTGAGAAAAGGAGGCATTACAGAATCAACAAGTGTTTGCATGTCCTTTGTAAAATATTAAATGTAGTAATTTTATTTATATAAATTTACTTATATATATATATATCTCTGTGTGTGTATATACATATGTATATTCATTCTAGTTTGGTGGTTACATTAATAAAAATTTATATAAGAACACAATAGAGACACAGTTTGATATTAACAAATATTTTTAAGTGGACAAATTAAGTAAATGAAATTGTTGTGTGAATGAATACATAAAGAATTAATTGGTTCACAGATTTCACAGCTGATTAGGCTTGTAAAGGCCCAAAGAGACCATTTCTTTGACTCAAGCAAACTGAGTCAGTAAATCACAAATGCTTTTCTCTTTTGTCGGAGGAAATTCCACACCCTTTATTTTAAAACAAAGTTCTTTTAAGCATTACTTTTATTGGTAGCGATGAATGAAATCATCTTACCTCCAAATGGTAGCCAACTCTGATGAAGGCACAAAGTGGGTCAAAAGCTCCAGTACCACAGGTCAGAAGGTGTGTCCTGTTATAGTGATGCAAAACCCGAACATAATTTGCACATTCACTCTAAGTCAGGAAAAAAAAAGGAAGAAATTGGTTAGTGTAATAAAAATGTCTGGCCCTTTTTTGATTTCCATTTTTCCTAACCCTAGAAATCTCATGTTTAAGTATCCCTTGGCTGTAGGAGGCAAAAGGGGCAGATGAAAAGAGGACAAGGACCAGTGGAAGAAGAGACTGGGGTGCCGGATGCACATTTTAGTTAGCAGTGATGTATGAATTACACTTACTAATGGGAGTGTATCATTTTCACGTGTTCTACTACACAACTGAGGAATAAAAGAAGCACTGTTTGGAAATGTATTTGAGTGTAAAGATTTGCATGGTAATATGTTCCACTGAGTAACTAAGCTACCCAATGCTTTTATTTTTTAAAGGACAAAAGGGGCCCATCAGTGGCAATTAAGTTCACACATTCCACTTCAGCCTCCCGGGCTTCGGGCTTCGCTGGTTCTGATTGAGGGTGTGGATCTTCACACCACTTGGCAAGCCATGCTGTGGCAGGCATCCTACATACAAAGTAGAGGAAGGTGGGCACGGATGTTAGCTCAGAGCCAGTCTTCCTCAGCAAAAAGAGGACGATTGGCAGCAGATGTTAGCTCAGGGCTAATCTTCCTCAAAAAATAAAATAAAAATTTTAAGAAAGCACATACAAACATGAATCAGCATAAAGTCAGGACACCAATAATTAGAAAAAGCTTCATTACCTATAAGGAAATGTGCAGACTTTAGGGCATCACAGAATTTTGATGTTTGAGAAAATGTCTTATATCTTCAAACTCATTACATTCACATAAAGCAACTTCACAGAGAATTTTCAAGTAAATAGACAGAAAGCTGACCAATAAAAATAACATTTTATACCTATTATTGTAAGATTACAGTCCAGGGCTCAACAAACTTTTTCTATAACGGACCAGAGAGTAAATATATTTAGTTTGATGGGTCATCTGGTCTCTGTTGCAACTACTTACCTCTGCAGCTATAGCATGAAAGCAGCAATAGATAATACAAGAATGAATGTGTGTGGCTGTGGTCTATTACAACTTTATTTACAAAAGTAGATTGGCAGGCCGCATTTGGCCCAGGAGCTCAAGTTTGCCTACAGAGATTCAATTATAAGCTTTTTGAGGACACAATCTTTATACATCTTTGTATTCCCCAGTTAATCAAACACAGTACTTAATACATATTACATGCTTAACAAATTTTAATGCATCAATCACTAGGTGAGTTTTATGATCAGTATGCTGAATGAAAAAAAGAGTTTAAAATTGCTTTAAATGAACCTGGCTAAATTAATTCTAGCAAATACCTTGTTGGCAAATTAAGTGTCGCTAGTTTACTTAAAATAAACTATGAGAGAAAATTAATTTAAATTTTTTTAAATTTTAAAATAAATATGAGAAAATGCTAAACTTTTTAATGCTAAATATTACTTCGATATCAATACATGCAATAATCAGTAAATGTAATATTTTATAAACACAGATTGTGACTTTAAAGTCCCTCATATAACAGTATTAGGATAAAAAAGCCAGCAGAACCATCTCACACTAAGTGCTTCAGATTATAGTATTCCCTTGGTAAGAATGAGGAATTCACTACACTTATTATCCAGGAAACACAGACAAATTTATTTCTTCAGTTTCCCACTTGTGTAGCATTTTATTCTGTGGGTAACTCATATAGTTGGAAAAGTCTAATCATTCGGGTATAGGGAAAATATTCTATTCTCATATTGCTATAACACCTGCTTTTCATCTCTTGACACTGTCACATCTTGACTGAGCCAATTAGATCACATTTTGGCTTAGACTGACATAGCCTAAGAGTGTGTTCAATTAGTTATCATCAGGCTGTGGACCAAGGCAGCAAGAATGTCTTGACTCACTCCTTGGCTGTGACCCACTTGCTACAGAGAATCAGGAGTTGTATGTTACTCTCTTACATAATATTTTGTTTTCTTACTGAAAAAAAGCATAAGTTAACTTTCAAAAGGAGATGTGCATGCCTTCCTCCAAAGACGCGTATGGTGTCATGGGCCAGCTCTGCCGAGCACGTGAAAGTCCCCCTTTCATTCAGGGTTTTGTGTGTTAGGATCTCTGTCAGGGCTGCTGCGGCTGCACACCCATTTCTCACTCACACACTGCAGGCAAGCTGTGGAGAAATGGAGGAGTGATGGTGTAAGTAGGAAAGAGCCTAAAAGCCTTGTGGAATAGGTCAGGCATGTTTATTGCCTTTGCCATCTTCTTTCAAACTTTTCCTTTTTTCTCCTTTTGTCCTTCATTTGTTTACAATTTACTAATCAAAGTGAAACAAAATCTCACAAAGAATGTGCTTAGCATTTCCTCAAATTAAAAACTTACCTGCAATTATTTTTCTCCCAAATACATAGGAAACAAGCATTAGTATAAAGTATTTATAAATCTGAGTTGATTAAAATGTAACAAAGCAAAGTAAAAACCAAGATATGGATGACACTTTAACTCTACACTGAAACTAATTTTTAAATAATTACACATATGTAATGTATATGTACATATTGTATATGTATATGTGTATATGTTTTTTAAGAGCAAATAAAAGGTTAGGGATTTGGTCCTCTGTGATTTCATTAATGTACGATGAAAAATACTTACCGTGTCTTTTCCTTTCATTATGCATTCTTCTACTTTTAGTGCTGTACTAGGCCAGTGTATCTGAAATAAAAGATAATATACTATTACACAACTAACTATAAAAGTAAACCACACTGAAAAACCATTTCATTTTTTCTGCAACTCAATGTTTTCATTTTGTTCTATTTTCTGAGAAGATAAAGCAACACTTTATCTTCTTTACATCATTATTTGCACAATTTAGGCACTTATCTTTGAGCTTACACTTCAGGCTAAACCGTACTACTTTTTAAAATCTTTTTGAAGGCTTACCTCAAGTCTCAGTCCTTCAGAGGCCACACACACTTCAAGCAGCCCTGCTGTATACTTAACCTGCCGTAAGCTCTGGCCTCCAGTTCTCCTGAATCTGACTATCTGCTCCTACAAATTCAAGTGCCCCTTTGAGCTTGTTTTGCATTTTTACCACCTAACACAGAACTTGGTGTGTGGCGGACTCCACAGACCATGCATGTAATGTTCTCTGCATGAAAGGATCAGAGCACTGAATGACTCTTTAAGTGCAAATTTACAATGTATCGCCTAATAATGTACACTACATGTTGACTTGGATTACTTTTCAAAACATTGTTTAACTCTACCAGTTTCCCACTGGATTTCAGAACATTTTCATTATATTTCAAGTTTGTTGGTTTCCTCCTTGAAGAGAGAGAATATCTCAAATTCTTCTTTGTCATCTCCAGTATTACCTAGCATTTTGTTGGGGCCACCAGCAGAAATCAGTAAGTACTTGTTATCTGATTCCACAAATTTCTGACCACGAGCTGTATTATTTTTAATGAAAGAAATTGTTTTCTCAATCATTTCCTTTTCTTTTCTCAGACTGCTTCTGTTCCTCTTTTTGCAGCTATACAATTAATTATACTATGTACCAGACAGTGTGGTAAGAACTTTTAGTTTTTCTTTCTTCTGCTTTATAAACTCATGTGCAGAGGTTTGAGTTTGTCATACTACTCAATTCATGGCTCATTATTATCACTGGTCTGGAGAGGTCCCTCTCATTTCAATTATTTATTTCCTTCCATTTCTCTCTCCATGTTCTACTTGCAGCCCTCCAGGGGGCAATCATTGTAAACTGTTGCCAGGCACCTTTTTGTTTGTTTGGATATACTCTTTTACAAAGTGTGTATTATTGCTTTTTGTGCACAGTTTTAAATTTATGCAAATAGTATTTTTCAATTTATGTAAAGTCTTTCTCATCTTTTTCACTAAGAAGTGGGTTTTTTTTTTTTTTAAAGATTGGCACCTGAGCTAACAACTGTTGCCAATCTTTTTTTTTTCTTTTCTGCTTTTTCTCCCCAAATCCCCCAGTACATAGTTGTACATTTTAGTTGTAGGTCCTTCTAGTTGTGGCATGTGGGACGCCATCTCAGCATGGCCTGATGAGTGGTACCATGTTCATACCCAGGATTCGAACTGGCGAAACCTGGGCCACTGAAGCGGAGTGCTTAAAAACCGGCCCAGAACTGGGTTTTTAAGATCCCTGCACAGTCCTATGTACACATACACTCTGCTGTTTTTAACTGCTTTGTAATATTCAGGATATAATGCCCCTCATTTTCCTATCTACCCTCCCAGTGATGGACATTCAGATTGCCTCCAAATCTCCACCACATCAAACACTGGTACATCTCTGTACATGTGGCTCTGGGATCTGTATGAGAACATCATTGGTAGGCACAACCAAGAGCAGAGTTACTGGGTCTTAGCATAAGCATACACTTAATCTGTTAGTGTAGTGGCAGATTGCTCTCCAGAATAGTGACATGTTTATATTCCACCAGCAATCCTCACTGACACTTGGCATTATCAGCTTTCTAATTTTTTAATGAGCACTTTAGATTCAGCCTTTAAATTAATCTGTACCACAACTTTATCAAAGATGCGGTATTATCTGGGAGCTTCTTTAAAATTATGTGGCATTCTCTGTCCAACTTCACAATGCAGTAGATCTACGGGTAGGAACCATAGAGTAACTGTAGCAACTGGTAAGTTCTCAGATGTTTCCTGTGCCTCAAGACCTTAAGCCTCCTAGATAATAGTTTATCCCCACATCTGCTGGATCAATCTCCCTTCCCCACCAGACTGACGAAGCTCAATCAGCCTCCTTTCTTGTGTCTCTCTCAAAATTCCATGGAGCACCTTCTCATGCTAACGTATCATCTTCATGGCTCTGGTGGTCAGGTGATGATGGATTCCATTTTGAGGGAGGCTGGCTGTCACCAGAACACCCTATAGTTTTTTCGTCTTTGCCTCCAAAATCCTGCACCTTAGATCTGCATGAACTGGTATATAGAACTCCTAAGATGTTCTATCTTCCTCTCTTATCTCTATGGCTTCTTTGAATCAGGCTATAAATATTTTTTTTTGGTTCCCTTCTTTTAGTAAGCAATCATCTTCCATTCTCAAGTTAACATTTTGGTAAAAAGTAGAAACTTCCCAATAGAGTAGCTTGGGATTCTCAAGATATTATTTTTAAAAATAGCCTTTTTCTCCTTAAGAGTCTTCAGGGCCTAGATTGAGAAAGGCTCAGGTATGGCTTCCTACTACCCAGTGTCAATGTTTACTGTCATTAGACTCTATTGCTTTTCCTACCTATGCAATTTATTTTTTCCCTTAAGGTCCCTATTATCTTTCCCTGATATCTCCTTTCCCTACATCCACCACCATCTCATTCTGTGCTCTGTTAGCCTGGAAAGACATTCTGGTTACGGAACCACATATTAGCTGTTGCTGATTGGATGCATTTTTATTTGAGTATACTGCTTAATTATTTTTAAATTAGTGGCCAACATTCAAAAATGAGCAATTTTGCATAAGAACCCAGATTTTTAGTTTCTTTAGAAAAATGTGAAGATAAGCAACATGCGTACATTCCTATGTGACAACATTCCTCTGCAGTTGAAAGTCTGAAGCCTTCTTTCAATGGGACAGGCACTCTCTGATTTGCTTCAGACTTTTCTTCTACCTGACTGGCCACAATAAGCAGTTTAGTTTTTGAAATCTGATACACAAGTTGAATCCTGAATATGGTCAAGATTTAAGCTTTTTTTTTTAAGCTGTGCTCCATAAAATATCAGGTTTGACACTTACATGCTAGAAGTGGAAGAGGCTTATCAGTTAACTCACACATTATGTAGCCAAACCCACTCCCTGATATATGAACAATAGTGGAAATTTATAAAAGTGGTGACAATAGCATTTTACTATGATGATCCCTATATGATTAAATTTATTATCACAGGAATAAGCGCTGATGGTTTGAATTATAGGTATAAAATATTATTTTGGTGTTCTTATTAGTGTAATGGGCCCCCAAAAGTTTCTTACTAACAATATATTCAGCATCAGATGTTCTTGTTTCACAGTGTAGTATATAAACTTCTAAATGAAAACATATGAGCTTTTCTGTTATGTTGTGGCACAAAAAAGAGGAAAAAAGTAGGGATATAAAAGAAAACCACCTAACAAACCAAAAGCACACACAAAATCCTGGAATCAATATTCTTGATTGTAGCAATGAATCTATCAGTGGATCATGCATGATTCAGGAAAGACATCACACAAATACTTCACTATTAGGTTCGGTTGCAGCCTTGCCTCAGCCTGAGGAGAGTTATTAACAATACTCACTTGTGAGGATTAAGAATAAGGATCCTGGAAGTGAAACTGTAGAATTTATAAACTTTACTGATTCATTATTTCGGAAAAAATTCTTGTACTGAGGGATAGATTTTCTCAGATGACTTCTAAAATCCATTCTAACTTGAGATTCAATTTGGTTTTGGAAGTATAATTTTACTATGGGTGCATAAATTGTTAAAAAGGCTCTTCTATAATGTGTGTGTATACATATATATATAAACATAAAACAAAATACAAATTCATTTTAGGATCATCTATCATTGGAAAGATTTTCATGACTAGCGAACACCTCATCAGTAATTCAGAATAATGTTTTATATTCTTAACATACAACTTATGAGATGCAAGACACTTCTTCTCAGAATATCAGCATCCTTTCTTATTTATTTTTCTTCATTATGTAAAATGATGACTTCTTTAAACTGTATTTCCGCAATTTGGAAGTATTAGATAACTCAACCAATTCTTTGGAAAAATATACCAAGTTCAGCTTTTCAATGTTCAAATAGATCCTGGTCAGTAAAACAATCTCCATATATTATCCTACATTCCCCTAAATCACTACTTCATAATGATTATTTCCAGGACTATTTGAACATGCTATTTGAGGGGAAATTCTCCATAGCATTTCTACACATCTATTGACAGCTTTTCTTCTATACTGTCTTTTCAAACAGTCTTGGAAGATAGAGATAGAATCTCCCTCCAGCCAAATGGAAGATTTGTTTCCTGACCAGGATAATAAAGATAATGTCTCCCTCTAGGCAGAGGTTGGACAGGTTTGCTAGCAGACCCCTTAGAAAATTGGGAGTTTTCTAAGTTTGAGATTAATCAGGTATAACATATATTCATTGTGTATGCAGTGTCTATCTGGGCTGCTAAGCCTCACTCCCTGGGGGACTTGAGGGGGAAAAGGCAACTGATGGAAACATGAAGCTCATACTGCATGCCTGCTGTGAGTAATAGAGTCCTTTATCTCTAACCCATGAGTTTCATATCTTCTGCCAACATCTATGAAATGGTGACAGGCTAACTTATTGTCTTGAAAATGAGGTGAAATCTCAGACCCTTCACAGTTCTTGACACAAAGAAAAGATAACATATTACGTAATGGCGAAGATTCTAGTATTGTCAGAATAAGTGTTTCTAGTAGCAAACCTAATAATGCAATTACTCTAGGAGTAACAAAATCATTATTTTAGGTACATCTCACAGTGTTTCACAAAAAACTCTTTCCTGCTAACTTTTTCAAGACATAGCATTTCTCCCTCCTTTGATCCTCTGTATTGTTTTTCTTACCTTCTCTACCTAAGACGATAATGATTTGTGTATTTAACTTCAGTTCTTTCATTAGACTATAAGTTACAGAGGGCAAGGCA